GACCGTTAAAAGTGGGGTTATGTTCATCGGCGCGACTCCGCGTGGCGCGCGCCTCGTGGCGGGCCCCGGGGCCACGGGCAGCTGTCTAACGACCGTTTAAACTGGGGGTTATGTTCGCCGCTCATTGGCGAAATCCTCATCGGGGCAGTTGACGGATCGACCGTATGACACACACACGGACAGCTGACAGATGATGACAGACACCTGACAGATGACAAATTCTAATCCAACCGCCAGAGGGCGCCGCCGCCGCAGCCGATGGCCTTTTTCTCCCGCGTTCCACAGCCAACAAAAACTAACAGCGAAAAGAAGAAGAATTGACAACTAATAAAAAAAAGAAGAAGAATTGACAGATGACACATTGACAGATGACACATTTAGGTTAGCCAACTTCGTGGCTATGGCCGCGCATGCGCAGTAAAAAAGTTCCCAGGCCCAAGTGTCCTGACCCCTGCTGCTATTTAAATAATAGATATCAAGCAGTAAAAGTTAATGGTACAACAAGTAATACAAAACCTATCGACTATGGGGTACCACAAGGTACGGTTCTAGGGCCGATCCTCTTTAACTTGTACATAAATAGTATATTTAGTCTTAATACAACAGGAGATATACTGGGTTATGCTGATGACACAGCGGTTTTTTATAAGGCTGATACCTGGATCGAATTAAAACATAAAGCAGAAAAGGATTTTCTATATCTGATCAAATGGTTTAACTATAAGCTACTTACCATAAATATGGATAAAACACATTTTCTACCCTTTAGCTGCACCAACACGAATATCTGCCCCTATCAGCAACTTAGAATTAACAAAAATGATACTTCCTTCAAAGTTAATGCTATAAAAAATACTAAATATCTAGGAGTGATTATTGATACTCATCTTAAATGGGATATTCATATAAAATTTGTAATAAAAAAATTACAATCAATTTTATATAAATTTAAGTACCTGAATAAATACCTCCCATTAAAAGCAATGAAAATACTATATTTTGCATTGGTTGAAAGTCATCTGCGGTATGGAATAGTGGTCTGGGGAAGTGCACTTAGGGTACACATTAATCCACTTGAAATTATACAAAAACGATTTTTGAAATTAATTTTATCCAAAAATAGAAGGTACTCTTCTGACATGTTATTCAAAGAAAGTCACATTTTGGATCTACGCCAACTATTTTACCTAGTAGTGAATACAAAATTTCATTTCTCTACCGATAAATATACCTTACTACATACCTACAACACAAGACAGAAAAATAACACAATTCCACCCACTGTAAAAAAATCTTTATCACAACGATCATATTCATACTTGTCAAATAAAATTTATAATTATGTTCCTTCTCATTTAAAAAATATAAAGAACAAAACTAGTTTTAAGAAGAAATTAAAATTTCACTTAGTACAATCGGATAGAAAAATAATATCCGAACTCATAGAAAAAAATTAAAAAAAAATTAAATAAATAAGAATGTAGAACTTAAAAAAAAAAATAAAAAAAAAACTTAGGTACACAAACTAGTGTCACGATTTTGAAATATACTCTTCTTCTAAGATCCTTATTGTTTACCCCAATACTTACTCTGTTAACTTTATATGCCATTATTAATATTACAGTTTTAGAATTTTACCATAGTATTAAGAAATGTATTTATATTTATTATGTATTATGTATTTCTGTAGAAACAAGTAAATTTTTTACTTATCGACTCAACCACTTTATTTATTATGATTTATATGTTTAATTATTAGTATCTTGTATTTTATATATTATTTATGATAATTAAAGTTTTTTATTATTATTATTATTATTATTATTATTATTATTATTATTATTATTATTATTATTATTATTATTATTATTATTATTATTATTATTATCCTAGAAATCTACACTGATGCTAGCCTTTCTGGCTGGGGGGCTCATTGCGAAGGCAAAAATGCTTATGGTTGGTGGACAGTATCGGACTCCCAAAAGCACATTAATTTTTTAGAATTGCCATTTTTTTCGGGCTAAAAGGTTTTGCAGACAATTTAAAAAACTGTAGTATCTTAATACGAACGGACAACACTACAGCTTTGTCCTACGTAAACAGGATGGGTAGCGTGAATATATCCACAACTAAATGCCTTGGCTCGAGAAATCTGGCAATGGCTGTGAACTAAGTAATTTATGGGTATTTGCTTCATACATACAGTCATCCGAAAATTTGGAGGCAGACCAAGCATCTAGGAGGCTACATCCAGATACTGAATGGGCCTTAAATTATGATATATACATCATAACAAAAACCTTCGGTGTGCCAGAGATTGACCTTTTCGCGTCAATTTCTAATCACAAATGTAAACGATACATTTCCTGGCTGACGGACCCGGAATCAGAGGATGTAGACGCATTCACGGTATCATGGAGGCATCTAAATTTCTATGCTTTCCCGCCGTTTTCATTAATTCTTCGTACCTTACAGAAGATTGTGAACGACGAAGCAAATGGTATTATGGTAGTACCCTTTTGGCAATCACAACCGTGGTACCCATTATTTATAAAATTAATAAGAGATAAACCAATAATGTTTGGTCCACAAACTAATATTTTATTTTGTCCCTACAGGAAAATTTAACATCCCTTATCTCAAGACCTTATCCTGGTTGCCGCGAGGCTATCAGGGAAGCCTTCCTCAGAAAGAAAATTCCTAGAATTAGCTACCATGCTCAGCTCATTTAGTGATGCCACACTTAACCAATACAATACAACTTTAAAACTCTGGTGGGAATTCTGTGAAACGACAAACATATCACCATTCGAATGTGAATCATCGGATATTATATCCTTCCTACAAATGATTTTAGACTCAACGACAAACATACTTGGCTCCTTTAATAGTCATAGAGTGGCATTGTCACTTTTAACCTCGAAAAATCTCGGCGAGGGTATCCAGCTCAAAAGGGTTATGAAAGGTGTGTTCAGGCTAAGGCCAAGGTATAAGTGCACATGGAATCCCGAAAAAGTTTTATTTTTTCAATTTTTTAACGAAACATCTTTAAAAATTTTTTCTTATAAAACTATAACCCTCTTTAGCAACTGCCCAACGAATTCAAACCCTATCGCTAATAAAATTGAGGCACATACATATTTCTAGTACGGAAATAAAAATATGCATTCCTGATTTGATAAAAACATCAAGACCCAATTTTACTCAACCATGTATTAACTTACCTTTTCTGTTGGAGAATCCTCCCTTATGTGTAGCATCTACTTTGAAAAAATATTTGGACTCAACTAAGCTACTACGGAACCCAAATAGTGAACAGCTGTTTCTGTCCTACGTCAAGCCTCATCATCCTGCTTCAAAACAGACTCTAAGTGGATGGATAAAGGAGTCTCTCGGGTTAGCAGGGGTGGACTCTACAGTGTTTAAAGCTCACTCTACGCGACATGCGTCGACTTCGGCACTTAGGCTATAGACTTAATCCAAAATTCAGCAGGCTGGAGCAATGAACTGGAGTGGAGTAGAATGCTTGTCAATAGGCTTGCGATGCGACTCTATGGGCATTTCACTCGGGAGTATTTATAACAACCATTTTCTATTTCACTTTGTTATTGTCTGATCCACCAGCATGTGGATTGAACAATAACAATGTGAAACAGAAAATGGTTATTATAAATACCCCCGAGTGAGATAAGAAATAAAAATGGCTGCGCCCATAGAGTCGCAGCTTGTTCTATTAATAAAATATGCACATTGGCTTTCTACCCCACTCCAGTTCATTGGGCTGGAGTGCCACAAACACATTCGCCAGATTTTACAATAGGCCTCTGGCGGATGAAAATACCATGTTTAAAACAATATTTAATATTAAGAAATAAGTTAAGTTAATATATTATTTGTTAGATTTTATACAAAATTAACCTTTCGGGTTGGTAATATTATGCTTAGTTTGTTTTGTTATTTAATCCTTAGTATTAAATAACTGCTTGTTTTCTAAGTATTCAAAATCTGTTTATTGTTACAAATAAAAGAAACAAAGTAAATATGGGTATTTTTACAGCAGAGTCTTTAAGCATCTACAATGTAAAAATTATGTAATATTGAGGACTGGACCTGAAATATAATTAATCGATCAAACGAACTTACCTGAAGTTCGATCGTAATTATATGAAGGTCCAGTCCGAAAATATTACATCCCTCCCTCCCACAACCATTTGCTGTAAAAATATAACTAGGTACTTTAAACATAATGAGGTTGGAATGCAGTGAGACGACGGACGGAGGCGTGGCGGGCGAGACGACCGGAATTTTGGATTTTGCTTTGAACTTTGTGCTCGAAATAGTTAAGAAGCATGTACTACAATGTAAAAATTATGTAATATTTTCGGACTGGACCTTCATATAATTACGATCGAACTTCAGGTAAGTTCGTTCGATCGATTAATTAAAACTGTTAACTGATTAGTGTAGGAGACTGGAGACATTTACTTTGAAAATAAAAATGCAGTGTGAATGTGATGACAGTGAAAATTGTTTACAACGGCTAAAAACAGTTCCGTTTAGCACCAGGGGACCTATTCTGTAACTCAAGCGAGAGCTCGTGCACGACTACTCATTGGTATGAGTACTCGCTCACTCCTCACTCACATAATTCTTAAAACCGTATTCACGATGGATCGGCGACTCCACTACGGCTAACTTTGACCTATTATTTAGTAGTTTAAATGTACTTTAGATTATATGAGAATAAGAAACGAAGAAATATTTTGAGACTCTGTTGGTATTATGTTTATTTCGGCTTTTTGTAGGTTATGATATAGTTATTTATTATATTAAAAAAAGAAAATAATTCAAAGAAAATACATAATGTTGTGTAAGGCACAAAAAACAATTTTAATAGAGTTCATGAACGATCATGAAGAGTTACGTAATGGTAAGTTTTACGGTAAAAACAGCTCAGCAACTTTGGGAAGAAGTAACTTCCCTGTTAAATAGCGTCCCAAATGGACAAACCAAAGACACAAACCAAAAAACACAAAGGCAAAAAAGTCGCAATAAATCGACACCTTAATATGACGGGAGGGGGCCCATCCTGCTCCCAAAGTCTTGATGACATGGAAATGGAGGTATTAGGAACGATGAACCCTGTTCAAATAGAGGGTTTAGGAGGTGGAGAAACACCACTTCAGTTTTCGTTTGATGACATAGATGAAGTAAGTACTTTTTACGACTCGACAAGTAGTTTTGTTTTAATTAAATCCTGTTCTTACTAAAAAAAAAAACTAGTTTTAATTAACTGTTTTAGAATGCACCTCCTGAGAATAATTTCAATGATAATGATGTTCCACCCAAAATTGAAAAACTCCAAAAGGTAACAGGTTTTCAGATTTCTTAAAACAACTTTTAATAAAATACTACTTTTTTGTTTTAGGTTTTGGTAGTAGACAATACCATAAAACAGGTTTTAGACCAACCTAGTAGAACGGGGGAACAAAATGATAAGGTATTACTGTCGAATAAAGTAAAAAAATAGGTGCCAGGTTTTTAACAATTTCTTATTATTTTAGAAAGGTGAACACAACTATAGTTTGAAATTTCCTACTTCACATAGGCAAAAAGGCGGGGCTCCAAAAAAAAATGGCAAAAACATATGTGGCCTTGAGCCAAAAACAATTGGCCTCTTTTAACGAGAGGAATAGTGTGCAGGAAGCATATTATAAAATTAAAAATTTTATAGAGGGGAGAAAACTAAGGGCCCAGCTGAGGGCAGAAAGGCACCAAAATGTATGGTGGAAACACCTAAAAAATTAATTTGTAATGTTTTGTGATGTTTTATACAGTGTCCATGGATAGGATGCCGATGCAAATTTTTTTGTCTATAAAGGATATTTTGTACAAAATTTGAATTTTGAACTTCCTCTAAAAAATGACTCAAAAATTAAATTTTTTTTGTCCTTTTCCACTATGGACCACCCGATCTGTGGACACACTGTATATAAATAAGCTTTAGGATTTTTGTTGTTTTGATATCCTTTTTGTGATGTATTACGTTTAAGATTGTAATAGTCATTTTTCTGTTACTATTTTGATAACCTTTTTTGTGAGATTTTTTTTTTATAAGAATTTTGTGTTCATTTTTTTTATTAATATTTTATGTTGTTAGCCCTTTTTGAGATTTTTTAAAGGGTGATTTATAATGATATGTACAATATATGACAATGGGCTAAATGTGATCTTACCAAAATGTTGATAATTAACGATATATAGGATGATCAGGTAACAAAGATGACATTTATGGCTGGTGAACCCGGTATTGAAATTAATTAATAAATCATTTTAGCTTTTATCACCCTGCATATTGTAAATTATAAACATTTTACTAAGGTAATATTTGGCCAATTGTGATATTTTGACCTAAGGATTCTGCCATGGCTTTGTGTACAAATCATTAGAAATTACAATATATATATTTAGATATTATTGTTTTCCATCGAACACTTAGTTTCATTTATCTAATTATATAGGTTATTGGGTGGTAAAAATCATAAATATTAGTTTTTAAACTTTATTTATGTAAGATTTCAATTATTTTTGGTTGCACAGTTACTTGTGTGCAGTCCTCTGCTAATTTTGCAGTTTTCTTAGCTAAATTTTTTGAAAGGCCTCAACAAAAGGGTCTAAAATATACATAACTAGGTAAAATATTTACTATTTACATATTTTTTTAAATTTGTTTTTATAAAAATAATATGGTGTAGTTAAAAAGAATTTTAAGTAGTATCAAATCTAAAAATTAATAAACACATTTATAACATATTTTGCATAATATATCAATACTTATTAGAATAAGTAACTTTCTCCTGTAAAACTCATTAGCATACGTTAAAGAGGATATTTTCTTAAATTTAAAATAAAAAAATAATAAAAAACAATACATCTAAATTAATACTACTGCTAACACACCACTAGTTTTTAAATTATTTTAATTGTAATGTCTTCCAATTATTAATTGCCTTAACTGTCTGGCTCTGGAATTCTGTTTTGTGGGCAAATATTGTGTAGCACACAACACCCTATAGTAATTTTGGCAGCTTTTATCGGTTGGTAGTGTAGAACCCTATGTTTTAGAAGACATCGAAACCTGTTTTTCAACACACCATTACATCTTTCAACAGTGCTCCTCACGGTCATAAAATCATTATTAAATTGCTCCTCTGCACCTCGAGCAGGATCTCTTAAAGGTGTCAGCAACCAAGGCAGCAGAGGATAGCCTGTAAGAAATAATAGTAAAGATCATGACCAAGATTATTTGTTAATTAGGTTTCTTTACCTGAATCAGCCAGCAAAAAAAAGTTGTTTTGGGGTTCTCGACGATACACCCTTTCGAGAACATTTGATATATTTGATTGCCCCCAAATAAAAGCATCATGTGTACTGCCTGGAAAATTGGCATTCACATTCATAATTTGCAAGTGTTCGTCACATACCTGAAATAATAGCATTAAAAAAAAAGAAGCGAAAATGTAGAATAGTTTACCAGTTGTACATTTAAGGAATGGTAGCCCTTCCTATTAACATATATGTTCATCTTCAAGTGGTGGCACAATTGCTACATGGGTGCAATCAATGATCCCAATTCCCCAGGAATGCCAGTAGAATTAAAAAAACTAAAAAAGGCAATTTAAGTGAAAACTTTTTAAAATCATCACAAGTTCCATTTGTTTTGACCTTGCTCTGCGCTGCGTTAGCTCTTCCATATTTCCTGGAAAACGGATCCATCTACTCAAGATTTCAGGCATATTCAAAGCATTGGTGACCTCTTCAATGCACTTACTAACGCTGCTTTGGCTCATTCCGCAAAAAAATTTGAACCTGTCATAGCTTGATAGCTGCCTTGGTCAAAAAATAATAGTCACCAACAACTGAAAATAATTTTTTCTTGTCACTTGGAAGCATATAATGTACAGATCTATAAACACCTAACTCACTGTTATTCGGTAGGTAGGTACCTAAATTTTTTGCTTACTTATCTAAAAACATGATAAGATGCAGTAAAATTTATGTTTTTACCTTTGTTTTACAGCTTAGACCAGATGTTCTTTGGGGAGCTTGCAAAAGTGACGTTAGCTCATCCAAAAGAGCTGTAACAGTTTCTTTATTAAGACGAAAATGTTTAATAAAATTACGGTCTGACAAAACCAAGAAAGGGTCTTGACGCTCGAAATATAATCGAGGTATGTCCTCTGCAGCCTGTTCTTCCGCATCTTGAACATTGTCTATTAACATTTGCATCAGAAAATCTTCATCATCCATTTTAAATAACTAATAACTTTAAAAACTATAAAAACTAAAGTATTAACTCTACTCTAAAAACAAACAACAAATAAAAACTAAATCTGTACTGTGAACTAAACCACTTGTTGAATTAAAATTAAACCCGTTTACTCTTTGACTTAACAGCAATCCAACAACCTGTAAAACACGTTGATTAATCTTTGATTTTTGAGGTTACAGCACAAACATTTTATTGGCTGTTATTTTGGCCTTCATTTATCTTTATTCTGTGACTAAAGACATTGTGCGCAAGTCGATTCTTATACTCTCCTGCTTTTATCCAGTAGAGTACTCGCACAGGAGTATGTGAGCACTCTCCTGCCTTAGAGAATACGGATTTTATAATTCTTAGGAGAGTGGCATGCGCAGTAACGCTAAATTGTGAGAGAGAACTCGTGCACGAGCTCTCGCTTGAGTTACAGAATATGGGTCCAGAACGTTTGAAAACAAACATGCCATTATTGCGGCGGGGCGGCCTCCCCTTCACTTAAAATTGTACAACAAAAGAAAAACTGTAATCGGTATTTTAGCGATAAGTTTTATGAAAATTTTAATTGGTTTGCAAGTTGCAAACATATTAACAAGTTGTTTTGTTGGGCATGTCTATTATTTTCGAAAGAAAAGAATGTGTGGACTAATGCCGGTTACGCAGACCTGAATAATTTGACAAATGCTGCAAAAAACATGATCAGTCTGAGAATTATTTAAAATCTGCCCTTTCTTTATGTAACTTTGGACAAAATAGGACAGAAATGAGCCTCTCGTCAGTTTAGAGAGGAAATAGAGCGGCATAATTCTAGAGTCGATAGAAATCGTAATCTAATGCGAAGATTTATTGATATAACTTGTTTTTTGGGAAAGCAGGAACTGCCATTCCGCGGACACACAGAAAACACTGAGTCGTCCAACAGGGGCAACTTTATAGAATGCATGCAGCTCCTAGCTAATTATGGTGGAATTCTCGAAGATCATTTACACGCATCCAACGAAAATGAAAAGAGAAATGTTTTTTCCGGATTTTCAAACCGAATACAAAATTATTTAATATCTGCAATAGCCTTTGTACTTAAGGAAAAAATGCGACATGAGTTGCAAGATAAATTTAAAGAATGAAAAATAACTTTTTAAAAAAATTTCATTTTACTATACAAACGTTTTACTTTGATAAAAAATAAGGAATGACAATTTTTGAAATTCAACATATATTTATAACATAGCTTGCGCTGACGCAGCAGGTCGAAGACCGGCATGCAAGCTTGCATTTAGAGTTCATATAACTTGCACCAAACAGACTTGGCTATTATAATTGATGAGACACTTGATATAAGCGGCAAAGAACAACTATGTGTGGTTTTTAGGTATTTTACAGAATCAAATGAGGTAGTTGATCGGTTTATGGGCTTTATCGATGTAAGTCCGTATCGAACTGCAAAAGCGCTAACCAAAATAATTACGGATATTTTAAATGACTTTAAATGTACTGACAAATTGGTAGCTCAGACCTACGATGGAGCCGCTGTTTTATCATCTAGTAAAAATGGAGTTCAGCAAAAAGTGCGGAAAATTTGTCCTGACGCGATATACGTATGGTGCAACGCTCATATTTTGAATTTAGTTTTGTCAAAGTCCTGTGAGAGAATCGTGGAAAATAAACACATTTTTGGGTCAATTAAAAATTTGGGTGTATTTTTCCACACTAGTGCCAAGCGTTCTGACTTCTATAACCAATTTTGCTCTGAAAAATTGCCACGTGTAGTTCAGACTCTATGGGCATATAATTCCAGAACGGTAAATGATATTGTTTGACTTTACTTCATTTAATTTTAGTACACTTTGCAGAATCAGTGGAAAACCTCCATCTTGCAATCCACAGAAAGAAAAATCAGGAGTATTCAGTATTTTAGAGTTATTAATAAATTTTATTTCGAAAAGATTTAGAGAAAAGTTCAAAGTTATGGCACTAAAACATTAAATTGTTACAATTTCTGTTAACCCTTAAGTAGGCATGTCAACTTTCTTTTACGTAAGTACTCACGAGAACATCTTTGTACTTCTAAGGTTTAAAATGGTGTAAAACCATTAAAAATGTGTATTTATATTTTTATTTATTTATTAAAACTGTAAAATACATCAAATATACACAAACTTCAAATTCTGCATCTGTTAAATTCTTTAAATTCTTGGAGCTTTGAAGTAATAGAAATATTAATATCATTAATATAAAAATATTTTAAAAATAAAACTGAAGTGGTAAATATACAGTGTGTCTACTTAAGTTAGCACTATATGGGAAACTTTTGAATTATTGTTTTTTTTTGCAAAAAGTATAATTTTTTTTCATCTGACCGTAGTT